TCTTCTGTGTGGGAGATGGTCTAAAATCGATGAGAATAGTTAACCCGTTTTGAAGTGCTTTTGACCAGTGCTGCTGTCTAGAATTAAGAGATGTGAGTAGGGTTTTTCTGTCTGTGATAATTGACAAAGGATCTCACCATTGCTTAACTGTAAAGTGGGGGCTAGCATCTTTTGTGCACAGTTAAGGAAGTATTATTAATTTCAAATGGGACCTGGGCACCCCTAACTCTTCTGGATTGCACCCAATCTTTGCAAGAAACCTGTCATTCGGCCAAAACCACATTGCAATTATTGTTGTAACTGTTCCAATGAAAAGCAGAAACGTGGACCACTGGAGTGCATTTCAGTGGAAGCAAAACGAGCAATGTTGCATTTTCAGAATTACCAATTGGGATTACGGGACGGAATGATGTCATGAATAAAATTATTGAAACTTAGAAGTGGTTTGTGAGCTTCTTTCAGTAAGGAAAGACCCTATGTGGCTTATACTAATAGAATGCATCATTGCATAATCTACAGCAGAAGTGAACTTATCCCAATCCTTATACTGTACCTTGGAAGTCAAACAGAATCCATTCCAGAAGTCCGTTCGACTTCCAAAATGTTCAGAAACCAAAGCGCAGCTTCCAATTAGCTGCAGGAAGCTCCTGCAGCCAATCGGAAGCCACAGAAGTCACGTCGGACATTCGGGTTCCAAAGAACGTTTGCAAACCGGAACACTCACTTCCAGGTTTGCAGCGTTCAGGAGCCAAAAACGTTTGACGTTTGGGATCCAAGATATGACTATATAGCCAAAGCGATGATGTCAACCCACAAGGTTATTGGCAGGCTTAGCGGGAACACCAGTTCTGCAGAACTACAACAGATCTTTAGAGGAGGGAACCCAAATCAGGAATATGAAGACTGAGCATGCTCAGTTGCCATGGGATGGTGCCTGACTGTGGCAGGGATGGTGCAGGAAAATGGGGGAGGAGAATGAGAAGTGGAACAGGGGGTCCTTCAAGAAAGCATGGCCGGTGGCGGCTGGAACAGGAGGACTCCACAACCCGGCATGTTGTGACAGGTCTCGCTTCAGTTGCAACATCATGCGCCCATTTGTCAATTGGAGGTATCCTGTGGCAGCAACCAAGATGTATGCTCACTCACATGAACAAAGGCAACTAGAGGTTCAGGAAGAGTTAAATCAAGAACAGTTAGCTCAGTTGCCTGTACACAATGTTAAGATATCCAGGTACACACACCCAGAAGGGGAGTTGCTGCCACTGCACAAATCCACAGAAGTAGAAACAGGTTCAATGTGAGCTACTGGCCTTCATTTGCAGGGATGGCTAGGTAATTTGCAGCCTTCTTTGCACTAGGACTATTTACAGTCTTCTGTGAATTGGGTCCAGAGCGTTTTCTGTGCTTACACCACTGTACCTTCCCACTGACCTCAGCCTTGACTTCCAGCCTTCTACAAACGGCTACATCACGCAGCTCTTGGCTCCTTCCCATCATCGTCCACCTTTCCTCACCTTTCCCAAGAGATGAATGGGCATGTTCTATCCAAAGGTGGAATCCTTGCCCTTTGCTTCCCCCAATGCCTGTTCTCTGCTCACCTCTCCAGCCTTTTCTGTTGATCTGAAGCAGCCTTGCTCAACATGATGCCCACTGTATGTTATAGGAGTTCAATGAGTCCCGGCCAGCATGATCAATAGTTGGGGGTCAATGGGGATTGCCATTGTTACCTATCATGAGGTAGGAAATAGGATGGCCATGTGGCTCCAGTGAGACAAGCTCGTGTGCAATTGTGCCTGGGAGTGCAGCTGTACGAATCAATTCAAAACTATTGGCATGGTGTGTCCCATACCCATTTTTTTTTTTTAATCCCCCACAGCTCCTAGTTGGGGAATTAAAGATTTATTTGGCTAACATCCTTTGCAGGGTAAAAGAGCTGGCCAGCCACAAAGGCAACATCTGCTACCATCTGTCCGCTGGCTGGAATGCGAGGGACGTTTTGCGCTACATCAGGCTCGTCTCACCGTAATACGAAGGATCATAGTCTGCAGAGGGTGTGTGAACGACACAATTGTCCGGCGCTGGTATTAGGCACAGGATTCAGCAGTCTAGCGATCCTAGCTTCACAAAGCATGCACATAGGCTTAAAGAAAACCTCTGAAGCAGAGGGGAAGCACAGAGGAAGACTTGCAGTGGCCAAGGATTTTACCAAAGAGGAAATTTCAAAGCGTGTTGGGAAGGTTTCTGGTTGGGCAAGGATCCTGAGAAATTTGCAGGATCCTGAGAAATTGGCAGAATTGATGCATTCATTTCGAACACTTCTGCAGGACTTTTTAGAGACAGGCACCTCTCAAAGCAGCTTACAACAATACTAAAAAGAAAATGTCAACAAAGCCCCCATGCAATAGAAATCAGGAACAGGGAGGCAAATACTGGAGTGCTTGTAAGAAAGAAGGCTGGCTGGGGCTGGCTGTGAGTTGGTGGGGCCCTAATGGACCATTGTAGATGGTGAAATGGCCTGCAGAAGGACTTCTGCTGAGGATCTCAATGGGACCTACATTTGCCTCCTGCAGTTTTGTTCTGCTATATATGGGTTAAAGGTAAAGTGACCCCTGACCATTAGGTTCAGTCGTAGCTGACTCTGGGGTTTGCGGCGCTCATCTCGCTTTATTGGCTGAGGGAGCCAGCGTACAGTTTCTGAGTCATGTGGTCAGCATGACTAAACCGCTTCTGGCGAACCAGAGCAGCGCACGGAAACGCCGTTTACCTTCCCACCGGAGCGGTACCTATTTATCTACTTGCACTTTGAGGTGCTTTCGAACTGCTAGGTTGGCAGGAGCAGGGACCGAGCAACAGGAGCTCACCCCGTCGCGGGGATTCAAACCACCGACCTTCTGATCGGCAAGTCCTAGGCTCTGTGGTTTAACCCACAGCGCCACCCGCGTCCCGTTATATTTGGGTTACATGGACATAATTCAAAAAATAATACCTAGGCATGTTTATATGGAAGGAAGCAGTCCTTGAGGTTAGGTGTGTGCAAGACATTCGATTATGTTTGCATTTCAATGAGAAACTACCTATCTACGCATTTTGAACCAATATGGGAATCAAATCACAGTTATCCTTCAAAAGTTGCACTTCTCTGAATTTTGCAATTTTATGATAATGATAATAATTTTATTATTTCTACTCTACTGATCTGTCTAGGTTGCACCAGCCACTCTGGGTGCCTTATTTATTTATTTATCCATTAACTTTATACAGTATACCGCCTTTCATCCCAAGAACTCGGGGCGGTTCACAGACTAATGCAGTTCTCCAACGTATACAAAATGTAATAAACTGCATTTATTAGGGAAAGTGTACATTAAGACGCATACATTAATGTAAAAAATATATCTTTAAAAACAACAACAGATTAGATACAGAGAAATCACTTGCAAAAATGTGCATGTTCATCAAATTGATATTAAAAATGTGTCTATTGGAAAAAATCCGCACTAAAATGCTGATGAATTTTTATTTATTTATTTATATATATGTATATGTGTGTGTGTGTGTGTGTGTGTGTATATATATATATATATATATATATATATATATATAACCCGCAGATTGCTGTGGAAACACGGGCCTTCTCTGCGAGCAGAAGCACAACAGGAATTGGGCAAAATCTGGAAACCTATGGCAATCAGCAAGCACATACATCTGAGGCAGAATCTGGGTTTTCTCTTCACAAAATCTGACACAGAACAGTCATGTTTAACATAGATAAAGCCCTGTCAGAGTAACCTCCACACACGTGGGGCGCTGTTGCCCTTCCACTGGGACTGCTGCCCACACTCCTGTTTTGCACAGATGGCCTGAGAGGTTTTAGTGCCTGAGACGGCCTCCTCCAAATGGTGCCCCTCGTTCCCCCAGTAACAATAATATTAATTAAAAAAAATAAAAATCAGTCATTGAGAATCTGCTGCCCTTTAATTTAGGTTGCCAGCAGACCATAAACACATCCACCTGGAACATTTTGTGGCTTTTGGGCTTGTTGCCAGAAACGCAATGGGCAAAGGCAACCCCCTGCTCCCCCCCAATGTGTTTTTTAATTGGAAATACTGGCCTATTTATGTTGATTTTGTTGTTATTAACATTTCGATCCTGCCTGTCTTGAATAGAGTTCAGTGTGCAAATCAGGGATAGGAAATAAGCCATCCAAATATTTTTTTTGACTCCGGCTTCCATCGTCCTTGACCATTGGCCATGTTGGCTGGGGCTGATGGGAGTTGAAGTCCATCAACATCTGGAGGGAGGGGCACAGGGTCCCAGTGTAGATAGTGATTCCTAGATTATCTCCCAGAAAAATGTCTGTTTTGAGTGCTTATGATCCATTTGTGTGCCTATGACCGTTTCAGGCTGAGGCTATAATAAATATTGCTAGGCTCTACCCCAAATGATGACCGCCACTGCCAAAAACAAAGAGCTAGGCTCTGCCCTGACCCATCAAATCCAGCCTCCCAGGACTGCCCCCAAATTGCTAGACACTGCTCCATTTTTCCTTCACCAAAGACTAGAATTTTGTTTATTTCAAGAGCAGGCAACTGTCCTTTGAACAGTACCCCAAATCTCTGCCACAGGAAGAATCACAGAATTATAGAGTTGGAAGAGATAATCATCACCATCACCATCATCATCATCTATTATTTGTACCCCGCCCATCTGGCTGGGTTTCCCCAGCCACTCTGGGCAGCTTCCAACAAAGATTAAAAATACATTTAGATGTCACACCTTAAAAACTTCCCTAAACAGGGCTGCCTTCAGATGTCTTCTAAAAGTCTGGTAGTTGTTTTTCTCTTTGACATATGGCGGGAGGGCATTCGACAGGGCAGGTGCCACTACCGAGAAGGTCCTCTGCCTGGTTCCCTGTAGCTTTGCTTCTTGCAGGGAGGGAACCGCCAGAAGGCCCTCGGAGCTGGACCACATCTAGTCCAACCCCCTGCAATGCAGGAATCTTTTGCCCAATGCGGGGCTCGAACCCAGACCCTGAGATTAAGAGTCTCGTGCTCTGCCAACTGAGCTATCCCAGATTGAGTGATAGGCCCAGGCATCTTGTTATGGGAAATTTAGACTAGGGATGTGAAGGTCCTTTGTAGATACATCCTACAACATAACAGATAAGCTACTTGGCAGTGGTGGGCTACGCTCTGCGCACCCGTATCTATGTTTTGAAATAAAATTGGGAGGGGCCTCTCTCAAATTGCACGTGCGTGGAAAATCCCCACAGATTCTGGGCTCTTCAGTATACTCAGGATGCAACGGGAACCTGCAGTGCTCTCTGTCTCTTTCGCTCTCTCCTCTCTCTTTTCAAAAGCTTGCATTGAGACTGGGGAAGGCTCAAAAAGTCGGCTTAGCAGAGAGGAAGGCAGTCGTGCCAGGCTCAAACGCATCCAAACATGCCATTTTGGTGCATCCGCCAGCAACGCTGAATGACTTGGCAGGCGGCGCAGCTGCTAACATAATCTGGAGTGGCGACACCATTGCACTCTTGCCGCATTAATTCCAGTTTCCATTTGGCTTGTTCTCTGGGCTGAAATTTATGAAGGCCTCTGCAAGGTTTACAGCAGTGTGCTTCATAATGTGTTCTGGAGAACCCTGGGGACTCCTCCAACTTTATCAAGGGCTGCTCGGGGTTCCTTCCAGCCCTACAGTTCTATGATTCCATTATTCTTTCCTGAGAAGATCAGGTGTGGCAAACAAACTTTCTTGGAAAACAAGCTCACACGCCACTATTCCAGTTTGCCTTGCAATGCGCAGCCACAGGGATGAGTTTTCTGTCTTGCTGGGAGCGTGTTCAGCTGAAATGAAATTGAGGCCCAAAGATTCTGTTAAGTGACTAGGAATAGGAGTGAAATTCAATTCCGCTCCCATTTAAAGGCAAATTTACCAAATTCACGTTTTCTGCAACAATAACAGAACTGAAACACAGCCACCCTTTCAAGGTCACTCTTCCCTGAATTTTGCAACCCAATTTTCTGACCAAAGTAATGTGTAGCAGAAGGCATATAGGGAAACTTACAAAAATGCATTATATTAAGGGAAATTGTTTTGCAAAAATGTAGAATATTAGGAGGCACCTACACTAAAATGCTAGTGAGTTTTCATGAGAACTTCTTTTTAAAAACCATAAGCTGATGTGGAAATGTGGAGTGGAAAACTACAAAACTTGAAAGAAACAAAAATTGAGTTTCCTGAATGTGACCTAAATGGTAGAGAATTGTTTTTACCTGTTGCAAGGCTGTGGTCACCTGCCCATCTATTCCCCCGCTCCCAAATGTCTCTGAGTGCTATGGACCCCTTGGCTCTGCCAGGACCTAGCATGGATTGGAAGTCCCAGAAAGACCAGGCAGAGGAGGGAGAAGAAGGAGCAGATGAGGGGGTGGAAGGCTGGCACCCAGGGATGGAGGAAGCAAGTCCTCCCCTTGTGACTCTATATGTCAGAGAGGGAGAAGCGAAGCTCCCAGCTTTCTCCTCTGCCCCACCTCCAGAGTGCAGAGACTCATTATGGAGAGGGTCAGAATGCCGAGGCGAGACTCCTTACGGGGTCCCCGCCATGGGATCACATTCACCCACCACTGCCCATGATTGCTAAGAACTCTGTGTGAGCACAGAAGAAGGAGGGAGACACTTTCTGAGACATCCTTCATCTATAGCATCTTCTGGCCAGAACCCCAGAGGACCCACAAAACCACAATGTTGACTTGAAAGCCTACAATCCTGGTAACAGAGCACATACAACTAGACATATATATTTCCCACAGTGATTAAAAAAAAAGAAAGAAAGGAATCTGACAAGGGTTTGCTCACAATAGCTGCTTCACATTCTTTTGTAAGTGTGGAATTTACATGGGCCGCAGAATGGCTTCATTACGTTACCATGTGTTTAAGATAATCTGTTGATTAGCTGCATTTCCAGTGGGGTTCCTTTCTCTTACATTCCCCCCCTTCCTTTAAGTCACAGTTGCAGAGCAAAGGCAAGAAAGCACATACCTCAAAATCATGCAAAACCATGGCCTCGGGCAAATCGACCTCGGCATGGTCCCCAGTGGGCTAAAGCGTTTTGTTCCAACACGGAGAAATGCAGCTATGCTGAGAAGCAAATAAGATGCGGTGCTTGGAGGTCTGCCTTCATTGCCCAGCTGTGCTTGGGGCTCAGGAATTGGCTCGGGCTGAACAATATGGATTATTTCATTAAGTCTTTCCGATATTATGCATGTCTGCCTTCTAATTCTACTCTTGGATCTGGAATGTGAGGCTCGGCTGTTACTGAAGCCCTTTTGAGACAGTGCTCTCCCCCACCACTATGGAGTCGATATTTAAGCACTGGCTCAAAAATATTGTTTGTTTTCAGGGTTCAGAGCCAGCTGCAGCCCATCCAACAGACTGCAATACTTGGCCTGCATCAAGCAGTGGTCAGACAGGGTACTGTTGTTGTTGTTGTCACAATCATTAAATAAATTTATACAGTGGTACCTCAGGTTACAAACATCTCGGGTTACAAATACTTCGGGTTACAGACTCTGCTAACCTGGAAGTAGTACCTCGGGTTAAGAATTTTACCTCAGGATGAGAATAGAAATCGTGCCTTCGCGGCGTGGTGGCAGCGAGAGGCCCCATTAGCTAAAGTGGTACCTCAGGTTAAGAACGGACCTCCGGAACGAATTAAGTTTGTAACCAGAGGTACCACTGTAGACTGCTTCCAGTCATAAACCCATCAAAGCGGAGTACACAGTAAAATCAGAATGAAGCACTGAAACATAAGCTCTGATGACAAAAAAATCTGTTCCCCAGAATCTAAAACAGTAAAATCATCCATACAAGCTCTAAAAACAACAACATAACATCATATATCAGATTGATCTTCCTAAGCAGAAACGCCTTCAGTAGGTGCCTTAACATCATCATCACACGAGTGGAACAGGCTCCCTAGGGAGGTTGTGGATAGTCCTTCACTGGAAGTTTTTAAACGGAGGTTAGATGGCCACCTGTCATGATTACTTTAGCTGTGATTACTGCATTGCAGGAGGTTGGGCTTGATGACCCTCAAAGTCTCTTCCAAATCTACAGTTCTGATAGGCACCTGTCTCAAGGCAATATGATGTTACCATTCTTCCCCAGATTGGATTTTAAATCCAAGTTGGAGAAGAATTCAATTCTCCCCTAGCCTCAGCTTCAGGGTTCTTGTCCTGTTCCCCTAAAGGCCAATATGCAATTGTGTAAATGGCCCCAGACTGCATTCTGAAGGCACATGAGGCCACCAAATCTGTTGAAGCTAAGCAGGCCTGGGTTTGGTCAGTACTTGGATGGGTGACTGCCTGGGATTCATGTGTAAGCTGCCTTGGGTTCCATGTTAGAAGAGAGATCACGTAAAGAATTTTTAAAAGAAATAAATAGCCTCTGTGCAACTCCACCTGACCATTTCCGGGTACAGAGATCACTTTGAGACGGGTCAATCATGTAGCCATCAGGGCATTATACTCTACCAGTTGCTGGAGAAATGCACAAATGTTGTTTGTGGGTTTCCCATAGGAATCTTCTTGGCCGCTGATGATTCTGGACTCAACGGAAGATTCTTTCTTATGCCCTTAGAGTTTTATATAAGTTGGTGCTCTGCAGAGATACCCAAGACACGCCAATGGATAGGCAGGAAGCAGCAATTGTGTGACCCCTGTTCTCAGGTGTGAATAGACCTTTACCTGCCGAGTCCCATAAATGGGCTTGAAATGACAAGCTTTATTATTATTTGTTTTTTTAAAAAACAAAACCTCTGATGTTTTCACCTGTTCGCAAGGAGCATAAGAACTGTCTGGCCAATTTGTTGAGGGGGCTGGAGTGTGTGTGGAGCAAATTGTAGCGGAACCTGGCGAGAGATGAAAGTTGGCCTGTCCAAAGAGCCATGAATATGCTCCCTTTGGTTTTGTTGCCGGGGGAGGGGAGAGGTTGGTGTGCCAAGAGGACATTCAACTGGGCTCTCTTTCTTGGTCAAGGCTCAAAGGACGGCACTGGGAGGGCAGCAGCTGTGGCTCAGGGCGCTGAGCCAATGTGTTTGGCGAGAAAAAGTCAGTTTGGGAATAGGGTGAAGGGAGAAACATTCTGCGTTATGAACCAAGCACAAGGGATGCACCTGCCAAGCCTCTAAGGTGTGAAATAACTATATATGTCATGGGTGAGGGTTCCCTTCTGAGCAACCTTTGGAGGGCCACATGCCATGAGTGGACAGGGACCCGAGGAAAAAGTGGGTGGGGCAGCAGATGTAAAATTTACTTCTGTGCTGTAGGCTAATTTCTAACCCTACACTTGCGTACCTCTCTATCCAGGCAAGCAGAAGTCATGGGCCCATTGCAGGGGTCAGCAAACTTTTTCAGCAGGGGGCCGGTCCACTGTCCCTCAGACCGTGTGGGGGGCCGGACTATATTTTTTTTTGGGGGGTGAACGAATTCCTATGCCCCACACATAACCCAGAGATGCATTTTAAATAAAAGAACACATTCTACTCATGTTAAAACACCAGGCAGGCCCCACAAATAACCCAGAGATGCATTTTAAATAAAAGGACACATTCTACGCATGTAAAAACACGCTGATTCCTGGACTGTCCATGGGCCAAATTTAGAAGGCGGTTGGGCCGGATATGGCCCTCAGGCCTTAGTTTGCCTACCCATGACCTATTGGATAAAGAGGAGTGGTGGGGGCACCAGCTGGAGAACCCCATGGGAACCCCCAAGGGAAGTAGGCTCAGATATGGGGCATGGTGATGGGATGACGATGAGTGGTCAGAGGGAGAAGAGGGAGCAGACGAGGAGGAGGAGGTGTTGGAAGCTGAAGAGGCAACAGCGTTTAGTGAGCAGGAAGAGGCTGTGACAGAGAACAGCCCAGAATCAGAGGCTGGAGAGGAAGGGGACCAAGAGGCAGAACTGAAGAATCCAGGGAGTCTTCCCCTCCTGCTGTAACCAGCTCCCCTCCCTCCTGGTCTCCCAGAACATGAGGAGAAATAAAAAGAGCAGAGCAGAGATTGGTGGTGTGTAGACAC